ATAACAGTAATAATAGTAATAATACTACTGCAATGCTACGACAAAGTAGACTACATCGCCTTTGGTAAACGGCGGAATCCACTCGCTGGGTCCTGGCTCCGAGCGGCCGGGCGCCGGCCGATCGTATCGGACAGAGGGCCGAAGAGCAGCATAAAGACGGCGCTGGTGAACCTTAGGGTTTCTCGGGTTTTGGGCTTAGAGAGTAGGGGTTAGGGTTCAGGGTTTAGAGTGAACCCTAGAAAGTTAAAACATGGATTTAGGACGTCAAGTGCTGGAATTCCCTATGCTTTACTTTAAGGGCACGAGGATAATAATATTCCAACTTTCTTGCTTCTGCTGTAGCGTTTGGGATTTAGGCTTTCCTGTAGGGTTCAGGGTTTAGGTCGAAAAGCAGCATAAAGACGGTGCTGGTGAAACTGAGAATTTCGGGTTAAGTGCTTGCGGGTTGGGCACTGCGGCGGTACAGTAACCGTCTACTTGGAGGCCCTTTTGACTTAGTAAGTAGGGTTAGTAAGGTGGGTTATGGGGATTATAATGGGGTATCTAGGGGATACTAAGTAGACTTACTAAGTCAAAAGGGCCTCCAAGTAGTAATAAGAGTGCTTTTAAGGGCCCCACATACAAATCTCTGCATTATAGCTATTATTCAACTGTTACTGGGTGGGGGCAATATCCAAATTACGAGCTTTAAAGGGTGATCGTGGTCACTATAAGGGTCTCGTGCAGGGTAAAAAAGGGCCACTAGTTACACGGGCTTGTGGTTTCGGCCTGTTGCCTGCAGATTCGCTCATGGGTTTTACAAGGGTTTGTAGGGTTTAGGGTTTAGGGGTTTAGGGTTTAGGGTTTGCAAATGTAAACCAGCATGCATAACCCGACTCAGAGGCCATGATAGTTATGGGGATCCCAATAAATGTCGAGGCCCGTACAGACGGAGAGCTCTGTCACTCAGGAGTCTACACTTTGAGATACCCTGAAGACTGCACAAACGAAGAAATACGGAGATACCAGCGGGAACCGTGGATGCTAAGTCCTGGCAAACCCTAAACCCTAAACCGGATGCTAATTCATGGCACCCTAAACCCTAAACCCTAAACCCTAAACCCTAAACCGTGCGGCTTCTTCGGCGCCTGCTGGGACTTGTGAACAGAGGCTTCGAGGCCCCTCTTCGCTTCTGGGGATTCACATCTACTTAAAGGATCATGGGATTTAGTAAGTGGGTTTATAAATAAGGTAACTATACTTATAAGTACTTATAACCCTAATTAAGGCAGTTATAACCCTACTTACTAAGTCCCATGATCCTCCAAGTAGGGGTTAGGGTTTAGGTTAGGTACGGCCCCCATACAGTAAGAGTCTATAATAGGGCTACTATTAAGGTCCTACGATATCTACTATTATGAATACTATTCAACTATTACCGAGTGGGAGCTGTACCCAAGGTTTAGGCTTGTTTAGGGGTTTAGGGTTTCGGGGTTTAGGGCTTAGGTTTTAGGGTTTAGGGTGTAGGACTTGAAAGCTGTCCTGGTGAGGCTGGAGCCGAAACACAAATCTCCAAACGCTCCGTGACGTAAGCCCTGACACCCTCAGACCCTCAGAGCCCAAAGCCAAAACAAACCGAAACCCACACCATCAAGCCTGATTTGCGGGCCGGAATGATTAGAAGAAAACTTCTGTGGAGATGTTAGTATAGTCATATCTGAGCACTGTACCAAGGATACCAAGACTAATCATACCTACCCCTCTACTAAAGCCCTAAGAAACCCTAAAAACTGCACAGAACCATTACAACAGCGAACCTCAAACCCTAAACCCCTCAACCCTGAACCCCAAACCCTTAACCCCTAAACCCCTAAACAACTAAACCCCTAAACCCCTAAACCCCTAAACCCGTAAAGAACTAAACCATAAAGGAGCCCGAGAGCAAGTGGACTTGAATCGTCGCACCCATCTCCACCGGTTTTACCCCAAAGTCTTCTGCCATGTCCGGCATGCTGGGCTGGTACTGGTCGGTGCAGAAAAAATCCTGGGTTCAGGGTCTAGGGCAGTTTAGGCTTTAAGCGTTTAAGGCTCAAGGGCTTTGAGTTTAGAGTTAGAGCTAAGGGTTTCGGGTTTAAGCTTCGGACATAACTGTGGTGCGTACTTGTTCCTTCCTCAGGTGAAACTGTAGTAAAGGTGAAGAATCTACCAGAGCTTTCCGCGCCCTCCAAGATAATTTGGTTCAGGGTTTAGGGTTTAGGATTCAGGGATAATGTTAAATGAATCTATCTCTGAAACAAGAGCCCAGAATCAAGGAGCAGAGTGGATCCCAGGGCTAAGAGCATGCTGCCGGACATGCCCGACTCTCTCTTCTGAAGGCTCGCTCTCGGGGATCTGTAGGCATAGACCCAATAAGCAGCAATGAAAAAGGGCACCGCGACGATGAGCAGCTTGACGGTCAGATGTGGCAAAAGTTGCTCCCCCCGGATGTGGGTTGTGACCTGGAGCAAGCTAACACTCTGGAAGCTTTGCAGCTGCGCACTCTGACATTCCAGCTCATCATCTGGCCCTGGCATCAGCCCATGAGCTCTGCGGCCCTGCGGTAAAAGCCAGAAAGTTGGAATATGAATATCCTAAACCCTCTGTGGTAAATTATCGGGTATCCTGCCCTGAAACCATATTCCAACTTTCTGGAGTTCTCTTTACGCCTCTGGCAAGCCGGAGCCCGAAGCTGACCCCGAGCCAGACACCGAACTCCCAACCCCAAACACCGAAACATGCTGAAACCCTGAACTGGGTTGTAGTTTTGGGGCTCTGACAAGTATTTATGAGTGGGTACCTCTATAGGAACCATAAGGGAAATTAAAAAGTTTCCCACATTGCCACCCAGTGAAGCAAGACCCTTAAACCCCCAAACCCTGAAATCGCTGGAAGCCTGAAAGCCATGAAATCGAAGATGCTACCCAGAGAATCAGGTGATTCAGGAAGCAGGCTGCAAGTAAGTTCAGAAGACCCTGAACCCTAAACCCCTAAACCCATCTCTGAACCCTGAACCCCTAAAGCCTACACCCACAATCCCTAAACCCGAAACCCCGTAACCCTCAGCCTCAAACCCACCGGCTTCAAGGATTTCGTGCTGGGTGCTCAGTTTCGGGAGGGCAAAGCTCATCATGGGCTTAAGAGGTTTAGGGTTTGACATGGCTTGACGGGTTCAGGGTTGGAGGGTTTAGAGTTTAGGGTTGAGGGGTTCAGGGTTGAGGGTGTAGGGTTTAGGATTTTTTAAGGTCAGGGATTTGGGGTCTTTAGAACTGAAGTGTGACCCTTCCAAGACCCTGCGAAAACCTACTAGAAGCCTGTCAACAAACACCCTGAAGAACACCCTAAACCCCTGACTCCCTAAATCTTACTTCAACCTGAAGCTTTCCAGGGATTCAAGGTTTCCTGGCTCTGAAACCCTAAAATCTTAACCTTTAACCCGAAACCCCAAAGTTTAAACCCCCTAAACCCTGAGGCTGTGGCTCTTTGAACCCCAAACCCTAAATAAACCTTAGCTCTCTGATGTTTGTCAGCTTTTGCTGCATGGCTTTTGACCCACGCGGTCTTTGTCTGCCTGAGCAGACGTGTTAAAATAGATGTGCAGTGCTGCTCTACTTGGAGGATCATGGGACTACGTAAGTAGGGTTATAACTGCCTTAATTGGGGTTATAAGTACTTATAGGTATAGTTACCTTACTTATAACCCCACTTACTAAGTCCCATGATCCTTGAAGTAGCGGCACCAAGGAGTTATGTATGAAGATATCACACGGGTTCTAGAGGAAGCTTGAGAGATTTGCAGTCTCTAACTTCGGACTTCGAATAGCTCGCGGCTTACTTATGCAAAGCCCGAGGCTTGCACTGCACAAGAGTAGAGCTTCCCAAATGGAATCTACAGAAGCGGACAAGAGTTGTCATGCCTGCTAGTCATCACCACTTCGTGGTGGCATGGGACTCTGACATTAACTTGTCTGCCGGGGTATGAATACTCAGTAGCTGCATGAAGCCCGCTGTCGTTCCCCAGAAGGAGCAGTTACGTAACCATTTGATAAGAACTTAAACGGCAAAGACAACTATGGTCATAAGCAGTGTCACCATCATCGTTGTCGTCACCATCATCTTCGTCATCATCACAACAACCATGACAACGATAATACTGATAGAACGAAAGACAGCAGCCATCCCATAGCAGTCATGACGACGCTACACTAACAGATATCAACACGAGTAACTAGAATAGTCAAGCTGGGAAGCATCACGCTTGCCTGGACATATTCCTTCTTATGGTCAGTACCATAAAAGGAACAAAAGGAAGACCCCATCAGCTGCAAACACAACACATGTCGATGGAAACACGAGCACAATCAATGCTGCCACTAATGCGTCATGATAACACAAACGCTTGTCTGCAGTTGTGCACCATAAGGTCATATAGCTACATGTGCAACAAGACCGGCGCGATTTGCGGTCTAAAATCTGACGCAATGAACTGCACAAGAAAACAACATATCATGAAAGTGCAAAGAGTTTCATGTACACCGGACTGTAAACATAACATTACATGAGTTACATGAGACAAATACAGATCCCAGACCCTACTCTGAACCCCATACAGAACACCCTGCATACTCCAAGCACTGATGTCAGTCCTGGGAAGCGGAAACACAATCAATGCGAATACAACAATAGCTTTTGCCATCATGTTCATCTTCAATGGAGTTTTCGAGAATAGGGGACCCTAATATAGTACCCGAAAATAGTAGGATCCTTCTTCTAAGGACCGCAGGATAAGGCCCCCTAATTTTCGGAAACTCTAAACCCTAAACCCTTTATACAACTCTTATAGATCCCTTTAAGGATCCCTTTAAAGGTACCCCCTAATTTTCGAAAACTTCCCGTTTCTCCTTCTTGTTCATGACCACACATGCAGCTGAAAGCGGGACCAAGGAGACGAGGTCGAGTTCTAGAGAGGAGACTAAAATGGTTTCGGGTGTAGGGTTTAGGGTTTAGGGATTAGGGTTTAGGGGTTAGGGTTCAGAGTTCAGGGGCTTAGGGTTTAGGGTTCAAGGTTTAAGGGTTTAGGGTTTAGGGTTCAGGGTTTAGGGAGGTTTAGGGTTCAAGGTTTAGGGTTTAGGGCTTAGGAGCTTAGGGGTCTGGGGTTTAGGGTTCGGTAATTAATCTAGCGAACATCTTACTGACTTGTCTTGTTCTGTCACGGATAAGAACCATCAGATCCGGCAGACAATCTAATGAAACTTTCCATGTGAAATCCTGAGCCAGTGGAAGCAAACCCATCATTGGGCCAAAAAGCTTGCGGAGGTCCGGTTTAAAGGATCAGGGATTACGGATTACAGCGTCTAAGAACAGAAGGAGTAGATTTAAGGGCTTAGAATCGTAGCATCGCGGCGGCTCACCTAACCAGTGGTTTTGGGGGTTCCCTTGTCCCGAAATATCAATGGTTAGATAAACACAACATCATTTCGGAAACTCTAAACCCTAAACCCTTATAGATCCCTTTAAGGAACCCTTTAAAGGATCCCTTTATGGTTAGGCTCATAAACCCTAAACCCTAAACCCCTAAACCTTATACCCTAAACCCCTAAACCCTAAACCCTAAACCCTAATCCCTAAATCCTAACCCCTAAACCCTAAACCCTAATCCCTAAATCCTAACCCCTAAACCCTAAACCCCAAACCCAGGTTAGGCTCACTTCTTGCCGGTCTTCAGGCGCTCCGCCTTTTCCAAGTACGCCTCCACCACGTCCGGCTCCTGTAGGGCCCCAAAAAACACATAAGCAAAAATTAGGATAGGGATATCCCATATAAATCCCCCTTATAATGAAGCCCAATAATAAGGTAGGGATATCCCCATCAAATGCTTATGCTTATGTGCTTTTTGGGTCCCTAATCCTGGTTGTGGCTGCGCAGCGCGCGCAGGCGGTCCGTCAGCGACGGCACCACGGTGAAGGGCTCGTTCCTGGGCTCCAGGAGGAGGGTCTACTTAAAGGATCATGGAACTTAGTAAGTGGGGTGATAAATAAGGTAACTATACTTGTAAGTACTTCTCACCCCAATTAAGGCACTTATAACCTTTCTTACTAAGTCCCATGATCCTCCAAGTAGGGCCGTGTGTAGAGATAAGGTTGAGGTCTGTCCTTCGAAGATTCTACTTGCTGCTCATCGTTGAAATGGCTGTGCGGCCTGGTTTCCAATCAGCAACGAACGTGGTTTAAGCTACCAGAATGACCATGTGCAGCTACAGAAACAACGAGTAGGCCTGTTCATGATCATGGCACTTGTTCCCTCCTCAGAGCAAACGATACTAAAAGCACAGACTGCCATCAGAAGGGCCTAGATTCTTCATGGGCTCCAAGTAGCGCGTGACGACGCCCTTGGCCCCGCACACTTGGCAGGCTTTGGTTCTGTCTCCGTGTCTGCACTGCAGACTCAGTCGGAAGGAGCCACAGCTGCTGCATTCCTGGAGGTTACTTAAAACCAGCATGTCATTTAGCACTTAGTGAACCCCAAACCCTAAACCCCTAAACCCTAAACCCTAATTTGGGGCGTAGGGCTCATGATAAGAAATCCTTCAGACGAGAGTCCCACTGCTTAGGATTTATAGTGGGGTTAATGTAGGAACCAAAACAGTGGGATTCAAATAAGAACCCCAACAAAGGCCCAAGATTTCTTAATCAGGTTCCTACATTAGTCATTTTCTGAAACTCCCTCCTCCACCGGCATGAAAGGCTCCTTGTTGAAGTCGTAAACTTCCCGCCAGCTCTTCCGCCGGAAGGCTCCTCTTGTTTGGTTTGTCGAATATCATAGGGGAACTCAAACTTAACCTTTGGGATAAAACAAGGTTTGTAAAAACCAAAAAATCAGAGTTTAGCTGCTCTACTACACAGTCCTGTCTTCAGCCACGCGTGAGACAGGATGAGGGAGAGAAGGCAAAGCCCACCGAAGGTAGCGTCCAGGATCAGCACCCAATGCCAGCTTTCGCTGTGTTCATCGTAGCCACCAGACATCCGCAGGCCGACCATAAGGCCACTCGTCCAGAGGCACTGAGCAGTCTGAAACAAGCACGCGAAGGTGATGTAAACATCTGCCGAGGTCATGTAGGATTTCCGGGGCAGCGAGTCATTCACGATGTAGCGGTACGCGACCACAGCAAGGAAGCAGGTGATCAGGAAGGACAGCCTACCAGAGCTGTAGTGCGGCCTTATAGCGAAGGAGCAGAGGCTAATGATGTTGATGAGCATGACCATGAAGGCCACAGAATGAAAAAAGAAGTCCGGCTGGCGCTGCACGTGCAGTACGACGTTCACCAGCGACCTTTGGGTTATCATGCCACCTGGGAGGTGCTCATCCGGGTGGCGCACGTAGACCACGCACTGATGGTCGGGGTCGACTTCCCACATGTCCTGGATCTTCGCCAGGCGCCTGCAATAAGCTTTCTTTGGGCCCGAAGTGGAGATGATATTGGGTCATAATCCTGTTGGTTTGCATTAAATTACAACGGATGAAACATGATTCCTCAAAA